TGCATAGCGGATTTTGGGATGACAATGTCTATAAAAATGGACAGGCGGAGATGAATTTTATGCGTTTGGGGAGTTTGTCGTATGAAGAATTTTTAAATAGAGTTCATGACATTGTTTGTGGAGACAAACAAACGTGTGAGTATCGATTTCACTTCTTGATGACAAATGAAAACGGAGAGTTGGAAAAATGGAGAATTTCTTGTGAATCTGACTTGCACAATTTGGCCGAATTGTTCCAAATTCCTACTATATATGTTACGTTGCAAGCCAAAGATCGTGGAATAAGGGGATTATGTACTCAACCACCAACCAATTTTCATGCTTTTGCGGGGGGACAAGGTGGATTTTTGAACTTAGTTGCTGCTCAAGGTCAACCATTTTATCCATATGGTGTTACCGTTCCATCTCTTGCAAACTTCAATTGGCAAAGCAACCCAAATATTGGTTTTGATNACTTCAATTGGCAAAGCAACCCAAATATTGGTTTTGATCTTAATATTGGGCGAGATGATTATAATCCAAATCAATCTCGGAATACAGTGCAAGATTCCGCGCGTCGAGATGTTGAAAGTGATTTTTCTAACCATGTTGATTGGGGTGAAGATAGTGTATTTGATGGTGAGGATGATGGTCGGTATTATGATAATTCGAATGAAGAAGCAAATGTCCACGAGAATGATAGCGAAAATGAGGATGAGAATGAGCAACTCGAGCAGGATAATGAAAATGAGGACATCAATGATGATTTCAATGGAGAAGCGAACGTCCACGAGAATGATAGCGAAAATGATGACGAGATTGAGCAACTCGAGCAAGATAATGAAAATGAGGACATCATTCCTCCGAAGTGTGTTAATATTCATAATGTGCCACCACTTAACCTTTCCCAAAATGATACTCCTAATGAAGATGCATTCAATGAATCTACTTTTCGTTTGAGAAATGCTTGGATGGTTCCTGGAGTAACTTATCATTTTCCGGATGTGCAAACTCGGGTCGAAGAGCCTCCTCCTCCTGTGTTAGACTCAGATTATGAATTGTTTAAAGGGATGATAATGGGTAGTAAGGAAGAATTGATAATGAGGTTNCTCGATTTGAGTCCGTCTGCAAGCATAAAGGCTGCCTATTTTTACTTCGTGCTAATGCAATGGTTGATGGTAATTGGAAAATATGTAAATTCAACCATCATACATGTATGCTCGACCTCAGTCGCTCAGCCCCTAGACAGTTGCCTTCCAAGATCATTGGAGCTTTATTTGCGCCGAAGTTATTGGCAGAAGGGCGGGTGTTAAAGCCGAGAGATATAATGAGTGACCTAGAGCGTGATCATGGTATTACGCTCAAATACAATAAAGCACTAAAGTCTCATAATGTCGCGTATGACTTCGTTTATGGAGATCATAATAAATCTTGGGAACTTTTGCCTGGATATTTTCATATGTTGATGCGACAAAATCCTGGAACCACCACATGCTATGAGACAAATGACGATGATGTGTTCAAGTATGCATTCTTTGCCTTACATGCCTCCAACGGATTCACTAATTGTTGTCGCCCTGTGATTGTGGTTGATGGTACCCATTTGAAGGGTCAATATAAAGGCATTCTGTTCGTAGCAACAACAAAAGATGGAAATGAGCAGATATTTCCATTGGCTTTTGGTATAGGTGACAAGGAAGAGCACAATGCTTGGGCGTGGTTTCTACATACGCTTCGTAATGTATTCGGATGTCCCGAAAACTTGGTCATTGTTTCTGATCGTCACCCAAGCATCAAGTCGGCTTTGGAGGTTGTTTACCCCGAAGCAACTCATGTTATTTGCACGTACCATTTACGCCAAAATATTCGAAAGTTTGGTCGTGACGTAGTTCATTTATACATGAAAGCTTCGTACAGCTATTCCCCTATCGTTTACGACAGATCAATGGCGCTGCTCAAGAAGGATCATGACAAAGCATGGACTGAGTTAATGAATGCATTGCCTCNAAATAAGGTTTGAATGAATAGGAAATCTTTGTTATAATAATCCCGAGGAAAGCATAGCCTAGAATCTATTTTCTCATTCTTGATTTATTTTAGAACAAGCCTTCATTAGTGTTAGAATTTATTTTGCAATCATTCATTAGTTTAGAATAAAATCACCATTCAAATTTGCATTAGACTAACTAATATTTAATCGTTTACATTTTAATACTTAGTTAATTTTGACAACAATCTCTGTGGAATACGACCTTGCTCGCCACTCACTACAGCTATACCGTACACTTGCGGATAGTGAAAATATTTTGCGAACAAAATTCAAAATTAAAGCTTTATGGCAGGATTTTTTTGAAAATTTTCAAAAAAGATTGCCAAGTTTAGTAGTGTAGTTCGTTTAACTAAAAAAATTATATATAAGTTCAATATGTATATTGAAAAAATAAATATAATATAAAAAAATTGTACTTGAGTAATAATTATATGCAAAATATTATAATTAATTAAAGATTTTAAACGGACAATTTTAACTAAATTGCATTTATCATTACAATGACATGTAAATGGATTAACACTAAAGAGTACACTAACTGGATGGGTCTAAAATTTTTAACCATCAAGTCCATTAAGACGTCAATTATTAGCCCAAAATGTAGGCCTAGTATGAAGCCCGATCATTGTAACATTAATCAGACCCAATTTATAAAATTACAGATCGAACGACTCAAATTAACCCATTAAATCCGACGGCTGAAAAAG